TTTCGAGCATAACAACTTAACGACAACACATGAATTAACATCGACAGTGCGTATATAAGCGCACGCACCGTACGCGGTTTGTGAGGCATCCGTAAATATATGTAATTCTACACGCTCGGGATTCGAACCTATTACATAACGTGGAACGCGTAATGATTTAAGGATTGACAAGTTATCAACAAAGTTTTTCCAGATCTGTGCTATATCATCTTGTAAATGTTCATCCCACTCAACTTTTAGCAACCACAGCTTCTGTAACAAAATCTTAGCTGTTATAATCATAGGTCCCAACAGGCCGAGTGGATCGAATATTTGAGAGGACTGAGACGGTGTTATTCGTTTTGTGATATTTTTAGGGTTGTTGATGATCTTAGATGCAAAATGTAATTCACCACTTTTATTGTACCAACCAAGACCTAATGTTTTATTTAGTGTAGAATTATTTAGTAAGAATTCTTTAGATTCCTCATTTATATATGCAGAACCCTCCTGCTCAAAGTTATAAATCCACTTACGCAAATGAAAGCACCCAGACTTTAAAACTTTAGATGTCTCTCGACATAGTTCTAATAATTCAGATTTAGTATTAGCTAAAATAATGCCATCGTCAACGTAGAAGTCATCACTAATTGTCCTAGCCACTATTGGGTTGTCACAATCTTGCGCCAGCTGTTTTAAGCATCGGCAACTTAAAAATGGAGCGGACGCAGTTCCATACGTAACCGTATTTAACTGGTATATTTGTAATGGGTCACTAGGACTGTCACGCCAAATAATAAGTTGTAAATCACGCTGGGATTTGTCAATATGTACCTGCCTATACATTTTCTCCACATCCGCACATGCAACATATTTATTTTCTCTGAAGCGTAACAATATAGCAATTAAATCACCTTGTATAGGCGGCCCTACGAGTTGTAAATCATTTAACGATTTACCGCTAGTCGACGCTGCGCTTGCGTCGAATACAACTCTCAATCGCGTAGAAATTGCATTTTCGCGAAGAACACCGTGATGTGGCATAAAGTAATGGGGATTACCGTATGTGTGCACTTTAGTCATATGTCCTAAATTCATATATTCGTGTATGAAAGCTTTATACATTTTATTTAAATTAGGATTGTGTTTTAAGCGGTTTTCTAATGCCAAAAAACGTCGCTTAGCTTGATTAAAAGACTCACCGATAAAGTCTGGTGATAATTTGAAAGGGATGCGTACACAGAACCTCCCATCAACGTCTCGCGTGGTCGTCTGTTTAAAATGTTTCTCGCATAAACGCTCCTCTTCACTCAATCCATCACTCCCTCTCTTTCATACCGATAAGTCTTCAATCTCCCAGAACATACGTAACTGTTTGTCTATAGACTGTATACTTACATCTTGCGCGTCTAGTGATTGTATGAAATTACAATGAATATAATTTTTATTTCTTAATTTCTGTGAATAAATAGGCCCGGATATTATCCAACCTAGTCTAGTATTTTGTAAATAAGGTCCGTTTGATAAGCGAATTCTACCCTCACATAATAGATCCCAAAAAATGTCTGCACCAATCAGTAAATCAATCGAACGAGTTTGATAAAATTCTGAGTCGGATAACTGTATATCGGTTGGTATACGAAACTGACCAATATTCACATTCACGGCCGGTAGGGAAGACGTAATTTGCGGTAAAACAAGACATTTATTTACGTGCGTAATATAAGGCTCGCTAACAGACTTTAATTCGATATCGCATGTTTTTGAACATTGTGTTATTGTGTTACCGCCGATACCTCTTATTTTATGAGTGGACTGTATTAATTGTAAGTTAAGTTTGTCACAAAGCGATTATGTTATGAAACAACGTTCGCTGCCACTATCGAGCACCGCGCGTGCCTTATGATAGTTACCTAAGCTATCGGCTATCTTAACGACCGCTGTAGACAGTAGTATAGGCAGCGATGCAGACGTCTGCGCGCTTAGTACGTCTATGTGAGAATTGCTCACCTGTGCAGAGTTGTGTATGATTTTATTACTATTATCGCTGTTGCTTGATGCAACCGAACTATTTAAAAGGTTAGGAGATATAACCTTATTTTTTGACGTGGGAATTTGTGATAATCGTTCGCTGGTTTTGTCAGTGGGCCTAGAAGGAAAAGGGGAGTCTGGGATTGTATTGGTTTTTACTGCTGATTCGTGTGTAATGAATTAATGTGTTGTGTTTTTTATCACACTTTCGACAAGGCCCGTTCCTTTTTTTTTATAGGATAGGGTGACAAACGAGCACACAGTCCACCTGATGGTAAGTGGTTGCTGTGGCCCAAAGGCATCTACATCTATCTTCGATTACGAATCAAAATGCAGATGCGTTGTCACCCGTGAGGACTAAGATGGAATGCCTCGTTTCCAGTAAAAAGGGTCTCCGGTTCTCTACACTCACCATACGAAATACAGCAGCATTAAGCTACTATTTCACGCTGGTATTCTGTGAGAGCGTGGTCCTTCCCCGGTCGAGCCGACCCATTCGTGCTACAACTATAAAAAATCCTACACTTATTAGCCACATGCCCCGGACGTAAACAGTTCTCACATAACCCCTTTTGGTGTATAAATTTTATTTTATCTTGTAAATCATATTCAAGAAATGTTTGGCATGAATACAATTTATGTTTAGCTTTGCACATAATGCATAAATCTTTTGTATAATTTTTTGTGGTTTGTCTGTACTAAAATTGCAGTGTACCTTATGCATGTGGTTGTGAGCGCTGGAACTAGGGTGTTGTCTTTTATTTTCATAATGTATGCCAGACTTGGCGTGTGTGACACAAAGCGTTTCTAACATGTCAGCCCTATCTTGTAAAAACTTTATTAAATTATTTAACGTTATAACACAATTCTGAGATTCATCTGTCGATTTATAAAATGTACACTTCACCTTTTCCCACTCTCGTTCGGAGGCAAGATCTAACCTTGATACAATCATGTAAATAATTAGAGTATCCCAGGAGTCTGTGGGCTCACCGAGTATTTTCAATGCGCGTATATTTCTCAACACTGTATCAATAAGTTTTCTTAATAACCCAGGTGATTCTCTTGTAACAAGCGGTAATGAAAATAAGGATTTTACGTGATTGTGTACCAGCAATCTGTTATTGTTATATCTGTTAAGGAGAAGTTCCCATGCAACTGTATAATTACTTTCGGAAAATTCTAGTGAGCCTATAACTAATGCGGCGCTGCTCTTTAATGAAGATTTCAAATAATGCAGTTTTTTAATTTTAGTAATTTCATTAGAATTGTGAACTAACGATTGAAATGTGTCGCGGAATTCTAACCAGTGCTCATATGATCCATCGAAGGTAGGTAAACAAATTGTAGGTAATTTAACCGATTGAAATATGCTATTGTTTGCCGATTTAGGAATATTCATCTCATTATCTTTATTTATCATACATTGCGTTTGAGCGAGGACGCTATAATAAAGACTTTCAAAACAATCACGTTCTTCTAACTGTTTTACTAAATCACTTTCCGAAAGAGATATTTCTAAATAATTCTGAATTTCATTAAAATCTTTATAAAGACTTGCTTGAAAGAGAAAGCACCTTGCATACGCAATTTTAACTCCGCGCGCTGTTCATTAGTTAATGTTTTATCTATAAAAGAGGAAATATATTTTCGAAAATTCGTTAACCTACCCTTAACTGTTCCCCTTTTTTTGATTAATTCTTTAATTTGATCACTACTTAAAGAACTAGATTTTGATAAACCTGACTTTGGGTCTCCGTTAGGCATTTTGGCAATTTATAAAAAACAGGAGTACTTACAGTTGCTGTTCTCAAACTTCCGGCGTTAGGTCAATAATGATGACGAGGCCTTTGCTACTGCAATCTGCTACGCGTGATAGGTATTCTTATTTTGGCAGATAAGACTTGATAACTGGGACACTGAAATTTAAAAGTAACCACGGATAATACACAATATCTAAATGCTCCTCCCAAATAACCAGGCAGGTACGTCTCACCAAAATCAATGTGCTGCCACCGAAGGCGATTGCCGGTTGCGTTATCTCTATTAATCCGCTTTATGTTTCTTCCAACTGCTGGTTTCCAATATCGGCGATGAAGGTCCAAAACTTATGTATGCGCAGAAATGAATATTTTATTTCTTTTAGATAAATGTGACTTTATTTTGTTCATTAACAAATTAAGAGTTTTACATGCGTGTTGACAAGACGAACTCTGCGTGAGCTATGTATGACATTAAGAGAGGGGACGAAAGATGACGTGATGCCATTGCGCCGACTCGCGATGACGTCGACCAATCACAGCCTCTCCACCTTGACGTGATAATTTAATGCGCGTACATATTTTATTGATATTTATGTATATTTATCCTTTCATTTTCATTTATAATTATATATTTATGCATCCCAACCAGATGAGAAAACTATATAGATACCCCAATAATAATAAAAATAATAAAAAGGCGTAGGGAAGTGACGACCCCATCGCCCGCTGACGTAACGGTTATGTGACAAAACCGCTACGTCAGCGCAGTCAGTCAGCACCTTGCCAAGAGGTGTTAGTGCCGTGCCTCGGCAAAAATTGAAGGTGCAAAGGCCCGCTAGTGCACATGGCCTCACCATGAAACGGCGCCGGGTCTGGGCGTCTCCCGCTAAATGACGCCCTAAAAATGGATGATGGAATTAAATAGAACGCGCAAAGGGCCGCTGCCTGGAGGTCGCCAGGGCGCGTCTGGAGCTGGCGCTGGACGCGACAGCATGCGAACCGCCAGCCGAGCGCGAGGTGCTGCACGACCACCCAGCAGCCCCTCGCATCCATCATCCCCACCAGCTGGCTTGGTGTCGGCAGGGTCTTCGCGGGCCCAGCAATCGGCACCCGCCTCTGGTGGAGTACGCCGCATGCGTTGGACAACCCAGATGAACAGCAACGCATTGCGGGCGTATTTTAGGGCGAAAGGGGGAAAAAACTGGAGGTTTTGCGCATCGGGCAAGGATGCATCGACTTTTTGGTGAGCTGGAGCCATATGTAACCGTCACCGAACAAAACCTGGCAGACCGAGTTCGGTATATCTTGCGCTCAAATACATTTGATGTTACCGAACTCGAACGGCTACGACGTGAGGCTGTTCCTTCATCGGCTGAAAATGCTGCGGCTGAGGATGCGGCGCCACAACTTACTGAGCAAACGGCAAATGTAGATGCCGCCGTGAACACGCCAGTTGTGGTTGATTCATACGATGATGGAATAGTCGCCCAGGAACTGGAACTAGAGCAAATAAGGAGTACATTGGAAGAGGCGATTGTGGAAACGCGTAGTACACCTCTCGAAAATCGACTGCGACTTCCCCGCTTAGCCCTAAGCAAGCGTAATCGGGCTGTCGTAAGGGCTCTGAACCCAATGCTGGTTACCTATTTGGAAGCCAGCCAGGACCTATGCGAGACGGACTCAATTCTTTTTGGCGCCGCACTGGCAGTCTGCCGTATTATAGGCGCCAAACTTTCCACGGCTGGACGCGCTACTGGACAAAATAGTACTATCCCAGCCTGGAAAATAAGAATTGAAGGACGTATCGCAAAGGCTAGGGCCCTCATCGGCAGACTGACCTGAATCAGGCAATACCAGGCCAAGGATTGTGCGCACCGTCAGGATGGCGTTTGCTGGGACAAATGTTAGTTTGTCCCAGCCGGATATAATGCAAAAACTGACGGAGCGCATAGACGACCTGAAGCAAAGAATCGCTGCTTGGGGAAAGCGGATTCGGCAATATACCGAGAGGTCGACACGGTTCAACAGAATCGTCTATTCCAGAGTGATCAGAAGAGGCTCTATAAATCATTGGAGCGACCAATAGTAAGAGGAACGGGCCCAGCACCAAATCAGGCCGACACGGTCGCATTCTGGCGCAGCCTGTGGTCAGAGCCCGTAAACCACAACGAGGGCCCTTGGACGGAAGTTGTGGCGAGTCAGTGTGCGGGTATTACGCCCATGGACCCCGTCATCATAACGCCGGATGACGTAGCTGAGGCGGTCCGTAGGGCCCCGAACTGGAAAAGTCCGGGGCTTGACGGGCTGCATCACTACTGGCTGAAGGGGTTCATGGTGTGTCACTCTGTGCTCGCCCGACAGTTTCAAGAGGTTCTCAACCAGAAGTCAAAGAAGTCAAGGAATTAAGTGAATTAGTGTGTTTAATTATTAGTGTTTTTAGTTTTAATTTGTGTAAAGTAAATTAAAGTGTTAATTTAGGTAATTTTATCGGCAATTTTTATTGTCACGAGCCTCAAGCTCGTAACAGTATCATGATTTTAGTGAAGGATCCGGGGGTGACGCCATGACTGGCACGCCAGACACGGACCTCGATGACACTGAGGTCATCAGCATGAAAGAGATTGAACGTACGATTCGAAGTTTGAAATGTGGTAAGGCTGCGGGACTAGACAGAGTTACTGCTGAAATGGTCAAGTACGGTGGGCCTCGCGTCTGGGACAGCTTTCGTCTGCTGTGCAATTTGTGCTGGCGGACGGGAGATGTCCCAGATGATTGGCGAAACGCGGTCGTTGTGTCTTTATATAAAGCTAAAGGTTCACATTTTGACTGCGGGTGCTATCGGGCGATCAGCTTGACCAGTTTAGCAAGTAAAGTTTACTCGAAGGCTTTGACACGTAGGATGCAAGAGAAATCGGAAAGATTCTTATGGGAGGCACAATGCGGATTTAGACCTGGAAGAGGATGCATGGATCAAATGTTTTCTCTCCGCATGATCACGGAAAAGCTTCTGAGTGTTAACCAGAGGATTTTCTGTGCTTTTGTGGATCTGGAGAAAGCATTTGATAAGGTTATAAGGAAGAAAATGTGGGAACTGTTGCCGGGATATGGTGTGAATGGTCGATTGTTAAGGGCTGTGCAGTCACTTTACTATGACTGTAAAGCCTGTGTGCGGGTAGGGCATGACCTGTCACCCATGTTTAGCGTCCAAGCTGGCGTAAAACAGGGTTGTGTCATGTCTTCCTGGCTGTTCATACTGTATCTCGACAGCTGTTTACAGAAGCTGAAAAATAGCTGTTTGGGTGTGAAATAGGGTGACATTAAAGTAAATTGTCTGCTGTATGCTGATGATGCACTGCTTATTGCACTATCAGAAGCAGAACTGCAGTCATTAATCACATGTATGAAAGAGGAATGTGAAATTAAAGGTCTCCGTTTGAATGCTAATAAAACTAAGGTTCTGGTATTTGAAAAGGCGAAGAGAGAACGATACGAAATGCATTAGTCAAAAGGCAAGGCGTGGTGAAGAGTGCACGCCTTGCACTATATAACGCAGTGTTGGTACCGACTTTGTTATATGGCAGCGAAACCTGGGTATGCCAGAAGAAGCATAAAAGTAAGTTGAATGCAGTGGAGATGCGATCTCTTCGTAAAATGTGTGGCGTTACCATAGCCGATCGAAAGCGAGACGAAGAGATTCGCAATATGGCAAGATTGAAAGATGACCTTATCACAAAAATTGATAGGGGCGTACTCCAATGGTTTGGGCACGTTGAGCAAATGAGTGAAGACCGAATGGTGAAGAAAATATTATATAGAGCGAAAGTAAATATTAAAAGGTGTCGAGGTAGACCGAGACTAACTTTCGAAGACCATGTGAGCAAATTGCTCGAAGAGGGTGTGACGGCCCAATATTAATATTAGTAATTAAATTCAATATTAAGGGGCTTTAAAAATAGTCTTAAAAGATATATATTAAACAATAAAATTACATTAATAACCATAAATTTAATAATAATACATTTCAGACATTAGACCAATAATATAGTAAATAAAGGCAAAATATTGTCTTCTATAAGAAATAAATTTATTAAAAACTTGAAAAAATATTTAAAATAAGATAATTAATAGAAATACAAGTCGAAAATATTATAAAAATAAAGATAAATAACATTTATAAGATAATTAGAAAATTTGTTGAAAATTGTCTAAGTCGTGGAAGGAGTTCACGTATAAAAGAAAAGTTTCCTAAGTTATGGAAGGTGTTCATGTATAGATGTCTTGTATAGAGGAGCTGCCGGAGATACATACCTGCAGTTGTACATATACGAGTATATGGGGTGGTCGGGAGCCCGACTGCCTGAAGTACTGTAGCACAATGACTAGTCCTATATTAGGGACTTATGATATTAAACTCACATGATACAAAAGCAATACTATAGAAGGTCTCCATGATGAATTTGCATCACAATAGTGGGGTCGTGGGTTGAAGTCTTATATATTAATGACTTATGAAAGTAAGGTCTATGATACAAAAGCAATACTATAAAAAGTCTCTGTGATTAATATGCATTACAATGGTAGGGTCGTGGGTTCGAACCCTATAAATTAATGACTTATGAAAGTAAGGTCTGTGATACAAAAGCAATACTATAGAAGGTCTCTATGATTAATATGCATTACAATAGTAGGGTCGTGGGTTCGAACCCTATATATTAATGACTTATGAAAGTAAGGTCTATGACACAAAAGCAATACTATAGAAGGTCTCCATGATGAATTTGCATTACAATATTAGGGTCGTGGGTTCGAACCCTATATATTAATGACTTATGAAAGTAAGGTCTATGATACAAAAGCAATACTATAGAAGGTCTCTATGATTAATATGCATTACAATAGTAGGGTTGTGGGTTCGAACCCTATATATGAATGACTTATGAAAGTAAGGTCTATGATACAAAAGCATTATTATTGAAGGTCTCCTTGGTGCATAAGCATTGTATGGAGTGGTCGGGTGACCGACTGCTCCTAGTACTGTAGCAAAATGACTAGTCCTTATTAGGGACCTGAAAAGGAATATTATGGTGGCGTGTGTTCACGTGCAATTGGTCCGAGGTAAACTTGGACTCGCTAACCGATGTGTCCTAGACATATCATCTTAGTGATGGTGGTAAGCGGGTTTTTTGTAGCAATACGGCTTTCCCGTGGGCATCGCACACCCATACCGTTTGTGGGCGACGTCGTAGCGCATAGCGATGCGTCGTCTATCTCTCGGATTGGGATGATGAGTGTGTTTGGTAGCACTTTTAAGCTTAACAGGCATACTCAACTTCATATCTTAGTGCATTAGCGCTATGATACGTGGAGTTTTGTTCATTGGCGTCTTGGTAGCTTGCTACTATGATACGTTGGTGATATTTTTATATAACAACAACAAAAACTTTGTTACCAAAATCGATAGGGATCATGTGGGTGTGTTGTGAGGGGGCGCCATGCGTATGATAGTTGCATTGATGCTTACTGCTACCTGCGGTATTGCGTCTTGTGATGGATCTGCGGGTATGCTGCGCCTGATTTGACGCACTCTTATGGTTCTGGTCGATGGAGGTATGCGGGTAGTGATGTCTGCTGGGATGTATGGGGGACCTTAGGATGGTGTAAGCCCGACGATAGTTGTATTGATTCTTGTTGCGTTCTGCAGCATTGCGTCTCTGCTATGGTTGTTTGGTGGGACGCTATTCTCAATGACGCTCTCTGCGTCTTGGATTGACTCACGCCTGAGTAGCTTTGCCCAAGTCGAGTCCCTTCATTACGGGGCTGCAGACTGTCTGCCCTCCACGATGTTTTATATAACAACATAATATTATATCTCTGTAACTTTCCCACCTTTGAATGATTGAATGCAACTTGTTGGTGGGTGAGACAAACATGATCGAAAATGCATTTACTCGACGTCAGTGACACAAACCCTTTCTGATGGCGAATTATTACTCTTATCTTATAACTGCCTTTTGGCTATATCTGCCGTTGTATTGGTTGGTGGAGCATATGTGTCGACCTCATGCGGGTGGTAGCTGGCGGGCGGATCTGAGGAGACTCTCAAGGCTGCGGTCGAAAGCCGCACAACGTGGGACCCCATTCCCTTGAGGTGAGCGGTAGACTCATGACACGCTCTGCGGCTAGTAGCCGTGCTGACCATGCAATTGGTGGTGATGCCATACACTTACATCACGTCTGCAGGAGCGGCGGTCTGGCAGGTGGTGGCGCTCACGGAGGGTTTACGGCCAGTGTGCCTATTTGCCTAAACCGTGTGACGTACATTTACTGTGGCTGGATTCGTGCTGCACTTAATTCAACGCATCTTGTAGTTCTGGTCGATGGAGATATGCGGGTGGTGACGTCTGTTGGGATTATATGAGGGACTTTGGGATAGTGTAAGCCCGACGATAGTAGTTTTGATGCTTGTTTTATTTTGCAGCATAGCGTCTCTATTATAGTTGTTTGCAGGGTTGCTATTCTCAATGGCGCTCTCTACGTCTTGGTTTTATTCACACGTAAGTAGCTTTGCCCAAGTCAAGTCCCTTCATTACGGGGCTGAAGATTGTCTTACCTCCATGAAGTTTTATGTAACAACACATTAATATCTCACTGTAACTTTGCCACCACCATAGTAGCCGTGCTGATCATGCAATTGGTGGTGATAGTTAAAAAGATATGTCTCCTTCTTCATTAGGTAGACCTTTCCCACCTTAAATGCTGGTAGCTCTTGCAGTTCCAAATATTTTTTATATTATATTTTATATTTAAATGTTTTAGTATCGTAAGTATCTTAACTACCTACT